GAGTCACCACACCCAGCCTACTACAATATTTCTTAAATCTCAGTGGCCAGACCTGGAATAGGTTGCTATTCAAAAGCAGCTTGTAGTTTTTGTTTGTTTGTTTGTTTTGTTTTGTTTGAGACAGTCTCACTCTGTTGCCAGGCTGGAGTGCAGTGGTGTGATCTCAGCTCACCGCAACCTCCACCTCCGGGTTCAAGCAATTCTCCTGCCTCAGCCTCCAGAGTAGCTGGGATTACAGGCACGCGCGACCATGCCCAGTTAATTTTTAGTGGAGACAGGGTTTCACCATGTTGGCCAGGATGGTCTCGATCTCTTGACCTCATGATCCGCCTGCCTCAGCCTCCCAAAGTGCTGGCATTACAGGTGTGAGCCACCGTGCCCGGCAGCAGCTTGTAGTTTTCTGATTTATGTGTTTTTTTTTTTAACTTGGAAAAAAATTGTTCTCTTAGGACGTATGATTTGTGTTTAAATGAAGACTGCTCTTTTATTTGGGAGAATCCTCTCCCAGTACTTGAGCGGGCTTCTTGGTTTGGCAAAGGCAAAGCCCAACACTCATAGTGAGTGGAAGGGACAGACGTAACTGAACTGCTCTGCACAATAATGCCAATGGTTGTCTTTTGTTAATAGGAGTCCTGACTCTGATTACATTTACGGGGAGTCCAGCCTGAAATATGTCGGGGTAGAGGTAGAGGGAAAAGTCCCTTCTGTTGACAGCTTGCCAAAGGTGTTAAGAGTAAAGGGATGGCCTTGAGGTGAAGAGAATTCCTTTGCGAGACAGGCCAGGTACTATAGATGCTGCATAATCTAATAGCCACTTCTAAGTCTTCTCAGCTTTGTAATGCCCCAAACTTTCAGCAACAGCCTGGTTGGTGTTTGCTATGCTTAGGGGAGTAAGGGAGGCGGCTGTGTCCACACTTAAGATTTGCTTCCATCCTCTAGGATATGACCCCAGCCCCCAGGCCAGAGTGGTGGTAGCTGCAGGTGTGTGACTGGTGATTCTGAAGCTCTAGGTGGTGGCTTGCAGCAGAATTCTGGAATTTTTTTTTTTTTTTTTTTTTTAGCCGACAGCAAGCGCCCAGTCCAGCTACTCGGAGGCTGGAGGCGGGAGAATTGGCGTGAACCGGGGAGGGCGGAGCTTGACGTGTGAGCACGAGATCGCGCCACTGCTCTGCAAGCCCTGGGCGAGACCAGTGAGACTCTGTCTCAAAAAAAAAAAAAAAGGAAAAAAACCAACCAACAAACAC